CATTTGCATATCACGTTGCTGGCTGCAGGTCATGGAGTATCTGGAGCAGTTGCCATGGCAACCAATCAGCTTCTGTTTTCAGTTTCTTCACTTAAGCTTTGAAAATGAAAGAGCGAAGCTGATTGGTTGCCGCGGCAACTGGTCCAGTTTTTCTTTATAAATTCCCTCAACAGAGTCTTTTCCTGCAATGAATAAAGTCTGCCGAATTGGACATGTGTTCCACCCGAAGACATCCGGATTGGTGGACTATTATATCACATTTATAGGCAAATTTAAATGGAACCTGACTGGTTTTGGATGGGGTTGGGAAGGTGTCTCTCAGAGACAGAGTGATGGGAAATTCTGGGGTTGTCACCGAGACAGGAAAGGGGTAAATCTTTCATTGCAAACACTTAGATAAGGGGGGTGTGTGTGGTCTCTCACTTCCTGTTGTGTCTCTGGTAGAGGAAGTGAAAGGAAATGTTCCCAGAGAGACACAAAAAAACCTTAAAGGGGCACTGACCGTTCTCTACACCAAAACAAGTGTTGGCTTCAGCTGTGCTTCAAGCAAGAGGGGGTCAGCAATGGCCCAGTCACATCAATGAACAATTTTCCTCTGATGTCATTGCTCTGCGGTCTGTGATTACCTGTCACCTTCTGTTTACAAAACGAGATTTAATTGCATTTCAAGAGCTTCCTGATTGTATGTACACGGCACCGGGCATTAACCATTGCCTGCCTGCCCACTATCATGCAGAATAAAAAGCTGATAACGCTGACAGGTAGAGACAACACTGCCCCTTATAACGCTGCCAGCCCGGCACCGGGGACCTGTCACCGCAGCCTTATGCCCCCTCCTGGCAACGACCCCCCGCTGCCCTTTCACCCACTTCCAGCCCGCAACGGACGTACTTCTCAGCACGTGTCTTTCCCCCTTCCCCCGGGCCCACCAGACCCTGTCGTCGCCCCTTTAACGCTGCCTCGTCTCGTGGTTTGGCAGCGGCGGCTGGGCGGGGTCTCATCTCCATTGTGTATGGGACACGATTGCTACATGCACATGACATGTGTGCACGGGACACGATTGCTACATGCACATGACATGCGTGTATGGGACACAATTGCTACATGCACATGACATGTGTGCACGGGACACGATTGCTACATACACATGATGTGTACAGGGAAATATCGATCATTCTGTATCTGTGAGGAGCTGATCCAGCGACATGACACCTCTGACCTACAGAACTCTAATATCTATTGCATCAATGTAACCATGATTACTACATGTGTATACAAGGGGGTGTGTGTGTGAGCATGTATTGCATCAATGTGTTTGTTCATGATTACTACATGTGTATACGTGTCTATTGCATTAATGTGATTGTTCATTATTACTACGTGTATACGTGTGTGTGGGTATTGCATTAATGTGATTTGTACATGTGACATCTGTAAGGAGCTGATACATTGATCGGAGGTGTCATCGCATTGTATGTTTATATTGGAACAATGTTTGTACATGTGACAAGTCCTACATTTGTATACCGATACTCCCCAAAATACTGGGGGGGGGGTATTGGTTCTTGTACACCGGGGATTCCAGGACCAAGTTAGAGAGTCTGGCGGTCATGATAATAATAAAATGATTTTGTTTATATTTGTATACCATTGGAAGTGTGTGTGTGTGTGTGTGTTGCATCAATGTGTGTGTATTCCAAAGAAGTTCTGCCCACCAAGCTGCAATCATGTTCAATGTTAATTCCGGTACTAAGAAAGGAACAAATACCGTATATACTCGAGTATAAGCCGTCCCGAATATAAGCCGAGGTACCTAATTGTACCAAAAAAACCTGGGAAAAAGTATTGACTCGAATATAAGCCGAGGGTGGGAAATGAGGCAGCTACTGGTAGATAGATACCAATAAAATTACATTAATATTTATTTAAAAGAAAAATAACCTAGCTCTGTAAGTGGAAAAGGGGGTACAGGGCTACATATCATGTACTACGGATCATTTAACCCATTCATATTAGCAGAGGATAATTGTAAATCTATTGTTCAGTGCATTCTATATGTAGTATAT